GGTCATTTCCATGTTTACTGTTTGAAGCAAAATGTTGGAAACCCAGCCAACAGCAAAAAACAATAGAAGGGTTGTGCTCTCGTCGCTTGCACTTTGAACCTTGCTTGCCACTTTGCACCTTGCACTGAACCCTTGCCCTCTTGCGCTTTGCAGCAGCATCGTCATCGCGCGGAAACAAAAAAACGTATTAGCGCGCCGAACGAATCTCGTCCCGAATGCGGCGTCGCGAGGCCTCCGCGAGGATTTTTTATTGCAACGGTTTCCAGGTCCACAGCGCGATCACCAGCGTCGCGCAGGCGGAACACCTAAAAATCGCGCGCTGTCAGTGCAACGAAAACGTTGGGTGCAGCCAAACGACTCCCGCGGCGAACGCGGCGCGACGAAAAATGAGTGCGACGGATAGGCCTCTAGGCCCTCAACGCGCGGGTGCGCGGAAATTTCCAACTTTGCGGCCGGAGCTAAAGTTGGAAATCTGGCTCTCCAGCGCGATTTGTCCTTTACGAGGTTTCCAAGATGTCGGCGTTCACCATAGCCTGTTCTGGTTTCTGTGCAGTTTCTTGCCTTCTTTCACAGGCTTTACGCTCTCTGTGCACCCTGCCTGCTGGGTTTCATGGCGGCAACTTGCAGTTGCAGATTATCACGGTAAGCAATGATAAGTCTGATGGTGCCCCTAGCTCGATGTCAGGCCTGGTCGCCTTCCAGTACAAGCATGACATGCTTCCTGGCTTACATAGTTTCTCCAATCTTATGGGATTCGCTGCCTCATAAGGTCCCTCAGTGCTGCCAGCCTTGGTGACTTGCTCTACGACTTTGACTTCTTGCTTTGGGCACTCCATGCTTTTCATACCTCGGTGTTCTTTCTGACCTGTTGTGCGATGGCATATATCTACGGCCTCCGACTGAGCCCCGCACTGGACGAGAAGGGTCTGACGCACCCATCTGACAAATTTTGGCGTAGATCTGGCACGTGGTGGCTTGTCAGCAGTTTCGGATGGTTTCAGAGGGCACCAGAGCCAGTGTAGACATCGGAGCATGTCTGATGGGCAGTTCACAGCTGCAGGTGCATTTTGATGCTGACTCCTGTTGGAGTCGTCTTTCGCCTCTTGCACCTGTTTCTTGGAACTTCTTTGTGGGGGATCCTTCTGGTGTTGGTCGAGGCCAGGATCTTCGCACCTCTCGCATCCTCGCACATCACTCCTTCTTCCTAATGAACACAAGAATTCCAGATACCGTATTCCTGCAGCAATAGCCTTTTCCAGCATTCCTCTCGTTCGCGAGGCACCTTAAAGTGTATTTGTAGCCGTGACCGAGTCACGAGGTGGCGCTTATCCAATTCTTCGTCATCGTCACATTTTTGGGCTTGGTGCTCAGCACACCCCAGCACTCTAGAATCGCATGGTCATACCTTGATGCCAGGTGTGGCCCGCCTCATGATGGAGCTAGACTTAGTGGAGCCCATGTTGGATCTGGCGCACATAGGGCTAAAGAGGAAATCTTCTTGACTATTGCAAGTGATTTGGTGTACGAATATCCTATGCTAAAGGTCGAGCTTACACAGGTTCTGATTTTACTCAGTTAGTGGCGGAACATGACAGTGTGGCAGCAGTAAAGTTTGGCAACAGTCAACAGCAAATTCATGCGAGAAGTGGAGACAAAGAATCCCTTAGAGTTTGGCAACACTTTGTGTATATGTCCAGTTGTCATGCAGCATCTTTCGAGCTTAACTAGCTCGAGAGGATCTGCAAGGTGTGCCGTCTGCCGAGCTGCTTAGCGCATCCTGGCAGGGCGTTTCGATGACCGGAATTTGTTCATGAGCCTTTGAAGTGCGCCCATGCAGAGTCCCAGCAGTGTGAATCAGTGCCACATGCCATTTTCCAGTAGGTTCTAGTGACAGTTACGTGCTTGTGCAACAAAAGAATCGAGCACTGTGGGTTGACAGTTTGAACCGTTTCCTTGGCTGTCTGTATATATTGATTGCTTCGCCGCCATCTCTCAATACCTTTGCGCAGAAAACCCCATTCCATTGAAGCCCTTGTGCCGGCAGCATGGCGACCTCCTCGGTCTATCTTCATGTTTCTTTATTCTTTGGTTTTGGCTACTAACCGTGATGAAGTTCCAGGTGCTGCTGCGCACGTTGGGACTGGCAGCTCTGCTGGGCGTGCTCCAGCAGACCCAAGCCGTGACGGATTGGTGCTGAGCTGCGCGAACTTACGTTTACCCTTTGTGCAGCAGATGCAAGTTCAATTTCAGGTGAGGCCGAAGTTTGATAATCACCGATGCAGAGACACTTGACTAAGTTGTTGCACGGTTAAAGATGAGTTTGTGGACACACTGTCAAAACCTGTGCAGCATAGGTGATGTGTCAGAGATTTGGCCCGGCCCCGAATGTCACTGGCAATCGCGCCACAGAAAGCTGATGCTTCGTGTACTCCCTCGCAGCTGCTTGCCATATGTGCAAGGCATGAAGGCCTTGGGCGCGGAGTTTCAGAACATCTCGGATCCAACAAAATGTGTGACTCAGTGTGACAAGGCGACTTGCGACTTCCAGCAAGCGCAAGTCCGGTCATGTCCGAAGTCCATTGTCAAGCCAGGTCTATCCATCTCAGACCGCCAAGACCGCCAAGGCCTGTGCCAGGGAGCCCGCAGGGAGTTCGAACTCGGAACGAAGCCTTGAAGCGAAGGTCAGTAAAGACACCGTGGCACTTGCATCGAAACCGGAGCGGGCCACTTCGTCCTCCAGACATATTACCTTGCAGTTTGCTGCTTTCTTTCTTGGGAGCTCTGCTTGACACAGGCATGTCACAGCATGTCTGTTGCCAGGCTTCCTCAGAAGCGCTGACGCCAAGGTGCTGAATGACCTAACAGATAGTTGCCATCACAGCTCATGCTGTACTGGTGCCATGACATGGAAGGCAGTAGGACTTCCACAGATGAACACTGCGGAGTCTTGGCCAGCTCAATCTTGAATGGATTCAGGTTGAGGTGCTAAGCATCACTGCAGTTGAATAGTGTTCATTTGTGGGAGGCGAGCTTCACCCTAGTGATGCCTGAAGTTGAAAGACTTCGGCTGAGAAGCGTGAAGCTTTGGAGCCAGGAACACCAGAGGGTTGAAAACAAAGTTTCGCCTGATATGTTGACTCTCCTTTCGTTCTCAGCTTCTCACAACGAGAAGCCAACAAGTTGCAGGCCATCCCCAAGCTCATCGACGAACACCTGGAAGACAGGTGCAGCACGCTAGGTCTCTGCCTCTGACGCTTGTTGGGCTTGCCGCAGTCCTCACCATAATGTTTAGCGGATCCTCTGCTTCTGTCTACTGTCACCCACCAACAGACACTAGCTAGGAGTGAGGACTTGTTGTGTTGTTTGTGTCGAATAACAAAGTCCTGGAAGTCGCGAGCATGCTGGATTGGGTGTGTTAGGGTCGGCAGATGTCGGGAGGCGAAGGAAGCAACATTCGTTACAAGCGCAGAAGTTTGAGCGATGTCAGGAAGAGGAAGGCGTGCTTTAGCCAGATTGCAGAACCGGGTTTTGCACAGTCTTCGCACACTCGAGCCCCCGTGCCAGCCAAGGACGAGGTGAGCTACTCCTCTTTGTCTGTTGCATTCTCCGTGCATTGTTTTCCATAGACAGTAGAGAGTCATAGGATGACGTTCAACGTCTCTACTATCATTACACATTGCGCATTACACCTTGTTTGCATTGAATCCAAGAGCCCCCGAGAGTGCCTCATGCAGGGACATGTTATCGGGACGCATAAGTAGCCACTTCCCACAGCCAGATTGACATTCGTAGTTAAGTGTTTTCCAGCACCCGCGTGCCGGTGCCCATCCCAGGCGGCGAAGGACAAATGACGACGTAGTAGGTGTGGGTGGCTCTAGCGCGAAGGCTTGTCCCATCAGGTCGCATGGCAGATGCCCTCCGGCATGCGGCTTGCGAGTTGCTGCGGGATGACAAGGTGCCGCATGGTCTGCACGAATGCCTCAGTAAGCCGCAAAATGGGAAGGAGTTCTTCCTTCCGTTCTTCCATCCTGCCGCATCGGCCTGTTTGATGGAGCAGCTAAGTACTGGCGCTCGTGCAGCCATTCCCAAGTTGGCAGGTGCATTTACCCGATGCAGGAACCCCTCCCACCTACGACAGGCACTTGCTCGTGGGGCGGTTCCGGGTCTTCGCTTGCTTGGCTCAGTCAGAGAATGGTTTGGGTCCGAGATGGGCGCCGAGAGAGCGCGGCAGGTGGGTGGAGTCGCTGCGTGGAAGCGAGGAAGGTCCTGAGCCGAGTACGAACAGCGAACGGAATCTCTAAGAGGCTGGTACCCAGTGCCTGGATCTCAACGCAAGTAGAACACTCACACGATAGCCTGTCTGCCTAAACCGTTTCGTTGCTTTACCATCTGAGCTGTAACCAAGATTCGTAAAGGTGACGAACTCGTGATTCTTGCGCTAGCGATGCTCTGCGGAATGGCAGTGCAGCCTGTGCGGCACTTACAGTTGCAGCTTGACTGCATGACCGTGAGGCTCGAGGTCAGACAGGTAGGCTCCTGCCCGAGGTGCAGAAAAGCGGTTACCGAGTCCCGGTCATGGATCCTTGCGATGCCAAAGCGTCCGCCATCCTGGCATCGAACTGTCAGCGAGTCTTGTGATTGCAGTCGCCATGGAAGGTCATTCTTGGCATTCTGGGGGAACGACGACCAGCACTGGGTCTGGCTTCGGTTTGGGTCCGAGATGTTCACCGGGGTCTTGAGAGCACACAGACATGATGACGGACAGGCCTTTGGCAAAGTGAGAGATGGAGTCCGCAGCCTTTGATTCCTTGGCGAGTGGATAAAGAGCCGGTGGAAGACAGTTCTAGAGTCTTGCCGCGAATCTTCCCGCTTTGGTTCTGCATCTACACGCCCTCGATGCGCTTGCCTTCTTTGGCCCACGTTGGTTGATTCTTCAGTTCTGGAAGTTGCAAAGTATCCCTGCGGAAGAGGATGATTTCTTTGACAGTTCCATTTGACAGGAGGCAAAGACAACTCCATCCACAGGACTCCTGGCAGGAAGCGTACAGTAATTAGTCGTACGCAGTGTAGCATCTTGAAGGACTCCCTCTGTCTGCGCTTCACGTGCTAGATGTTGAGGCGCGAGAGGGGGAAGCCATACTGTTTTCTGGAACTGGGGAGCACCTGTACCCGTCCGTGTGATCTCAGCGTGTTCACGGTGTGCTGAAAAGTGTGGCCCGATCAAACAAGTGATGTAGACATGCTGAAACCTGCGAGGAGGAAGACGAGGAGGAGCATGCCAGAGACCGGGGAGGACATCTGTGCAGTGACTTCATGCCAGATTGGAGTGCAGAGTTCCTCGCTGACCGCGTGCCTTCGCTTTTTCCAGGACCACACATGCAAAGCGAGCCTGAGGTTGTTGACGTTGAGGAGCGTTCTGCTTATGGGTCCCACGGATTGGCTCCGCCTGGTCCGACCTGCAGGCGCCGACACCGATGACGCCGATGCCGATGCATGGAAGCCATAAAGGACTCAACGTATTTCAGCACGACAGGACGCTGTGACTCTGGCGTAGCTGCGGCTTGAGGACAAAACGAAGCAACCACTCTTCCGGCGACCGTTGATGTGCGGACTTTGGGACATGGAGTGGAGTCATGGCTGATACGTTGAACCGCCCTGGTTCGAGGCGGACGACGGTGCGGCGAGCACCGAGCCAAGGTCGAAGTCGGTTGCGCAGGCGGTGGCCGAGGCTGAGGGACTCATGAGGAGCAACAAATGCCGCAGCTGCAGCTGATGCATGTGTGTGTGTGTGTGTGCACCTGTGCGCGGTGATGGGCAAGTTTTCTGTTTTGACAAGCGGCAGCACACGGATGGGCTTCGCCTCTCACAGCTTTCGCCCCTCCAGGGTTTCGCCCTTCGCGGATTTCGCGCTTCATCCCTTCGGATTTCGCCTGGCCCCATGCCCTTTTCGGGTGTCGTCTCGTCCACGAAGAGTTCGTGGACAAGGGCAGAAACTTTCCACGAGATGCGCGGGGGGTGTTCACGGGTCTGCTCTGGGCCTTGAGGGTTTAGGGCCAAACCTGGTTAGCCGGCCCCCAAGGGTTTAATGCCTACTCCGGCCTGATCTTTTGGGCTTGGGGGGCCCAGGGCCCACCTTTGGGTTTTAAGGGTTGGTTTAGGGCCGAGTCTGGTCTGGCGTTTAGGGTTAAGGGCCTTGATGGCATTCGCTCGTGATCGCCTGCTGACAGACGAGATTGGACACTGAATGAGACATGTGTTGAGGTGGGTCGTTGTAGCATAGCAAACACCTACGAAAGCTCTAATATGTATGGTTATTGCTGTGCATTGTGAGCTGTAAGTGGTTGCCACGTTGCGTATTACACATTCCTTTGGTGGTACATGGCTTCAGCGCCACGCAGCTCCTTGGCGATTAAGTGACTGCTGCGTGCCTTCGTGTTTCGGCCAGTACGTTTGGGAATCACCCCACCAATACATGGAATTCTGCGGCCTATCCCCAACAACCCCCGTGCCGGCAGACAATGTAGCAAATATGGGAGATCGAACACACCATGACGTCAAGGAGGACTGCATCCCTCCCCCCGGGCCAATACAAAACCTCGGGGGAAATGCATTGCAGGATCCCAGAAGCCGGCACTAAGACGGGTTTCTCCTTTGAGGAGGACCCCTGCACCTCGCCCCTCCGTGGGGTGACAGCGAAATCTTTCCCCTTTTCTTCGTTTTACCTTTCCTTCCTGTTTGGTTGCTTCGCCTCCTCAACTCTTCTCTGACCTTCTGCCTCGGGCAGTCTTGTGCATGGTCCCGGCTACCTATTGGTCTCTTGCTGCCACCGGCGTTTGCCACTGGTTGTTTCTCCCCTGCTCCGGATTTCTACTCTCCCCCCGGCCGTTCCCGTTGTCTCCTCGACGTTTGCTTCCCCTTCTCCCGGCACTTTGTTCGGATCCTTTCTTCCGCCCGGGCACCGCCCACTTCGTCGTTCTACTGAGCGGTGCCTGTTCCCGACCCGCATGACCTTCTCCATTCCACGCTGTCAACCTCCCTGAGCGCCTGAGTGACTCGCCTTCTTGCCAACCACGCACTGCACTTGTTTGAGTTGCCTCCTCACCTCCTCCCTCTCCCCTGTGCGGCTCCCCCGTCCGCCGACTCCTCCTTGTGCGCAGCTTCTCCCGCTTGCCGCATTCTCTGCTTCTGCGCTTCTACCGTAGTCTCATGCATAGCAGGGTGATGGGCGATTTGCTCGTGGTTATCGCAGCCGGCCCAGCCCTTGTTCTCCTCTCTTCCCTCTCGAACGCGCTCTGGTGTTCGTCTTTTGGGCCTACAACTGCCGCCCTCTCCAGCTTCGCCTTCTCATGCGTTGGGGCCTTGGCCCACTCTCTTCTGCCTTCAACTCCTCTGAAAAGCGATGGGCGAGTAGGCTCACTGGTCAAGCCGGCAGAGACTTCCATTTGCCTCTTGCCTTGCCTGTTGGGCGACGGTGGCTTCTCCCATTAAGCCGGCCCGCTCCCGTCTTTTTCTCTGCTTTCTTTCTTTATGTCTATGAGTCTATCTGTCGGTTGTTTGTGTTTGCATTGCACATCCCCTGGCGGTGTGGTTTGGGCTGTTTACATCTTGTTTGCCTGTTTCCCTTCGGGGCTCAATGGCGGCGGCTTGGTCTACGACATGTTCTGACCTTTCGTTCCTGTCCCCGCCTGCGTGTGTACCTGCCTTCGCGTGCCTGCTTTGTCCTCGGCGTGGGCTTGCACAGTCTCTGCTTCTTCGTGCGGCGCCCTTTTGCGCTATCGGCCTGTCCTGGCGTGTTTCTGCTGTGTTCTCGGCATGGCCTTTGGCCGTTTCTCTCATCTCTCGCTCATTCGGGTTGCGCCTCTGTGCGCCGGTGGCCTCTGCGTATTGCTTTGCCCTCGGCGTGGCTTTTGGCCATGTGAAAACTCTTCTCCTCCTTCGGGCCGCGCCCTTATGCGCTACTTGTATTGGCCAGTCCTGCTGCATTCCTCCCTTGCGCGCTTGGCCCTTACTCTTGTCTCTCACTGCTTCTTCGGGACGCGCCTGGGTGCGCTGTCGTGCTGCGTTCCCCCTTTTTCATCGGCATGGCGCTTGGCCTTATAACTCCTCTCCTTCTTCGGGCCGCGCTTTCGTTTTTGGCCAGTGCTACTGCATTCCTGCTTTGTCCCCGGTGTGGCCTTTGGCCGTTTCTCTTATCTCTCGCTGCTTCTTCGGTCTGCGCGTCTGTGCGTGGTCGGCTTTGTCCGGCTGCGTTCATTGCCTTAGCCATGTGCATCCTCGCCCTCTTCGGTTGGCCTGTCATGCTGCGTTTCCGCTTTTCTCCATGCTGTCTCAGGCTGCCTGCATTCATAATTTCGCGGTATCTCCACCCCTGTTGTGGCTGCCCTTATCTCTGTTTGTGCTCTCTTTTTCTGGTTCGTCGCTTACCTCTCCCCTCTCTCCCCTCTCTCCCCTCTCTCCCCTCTCTCCCCTCTCTCTCCCCTCTCCCCTCTCTCTCCCCTCTCTCCCCTCTCTCCCCTCTCTCTCCCCTGACTCCCCTCTCTCCCCTCTCTCTCCCCTCTCTCTCCCCTCTCTCCCCTCTCTCCCCTCTCTCTCCCCTCTCTCCCTTCTCTCGCGCCTCTCTCTCCCCTCTCTCCCCTCTCTCCCCTCTCTCCCCTCTCTCCCCTCTCTCCCCTCTCTCCCCTCTCTCCCCTCTCCCCCCTCCCCTGTGACTCTGTCCCCTCCTCTCCCTCCCTCCCTCGCTCTTCCCTCTCTCCCTCTCTCTCCTCTCTCCCTCCCTTCTCTCCTCTCCCCTCTCTGCCCTCTCGTCCTCTCCCTCGTCCTCTCCCTCTCCTCCCTCCTCCTCTCCCTCTCCCTCTCCCTCTCCCTCTCCCTCTCCCTCTCCCTCTCTCCGTCTCTCCCTCTCTCCCTCTCTCCTCTGTCTCCTCTGTCTCCTCTCTCTTCCATGAAGAACCCCTTTTGAACCCTTCGCGGAGGGCGGCCGTGGCGTTTTCGGAGCTGCCCTGAGATGCAGGGGGGAAAAGTGTGAGCGGCAACAGTTCTTGCTGGTTGCCTTCACCACCCCAGGATCCTGGGGATTGTGTAAGCCGCTGGGTGGAGGGATGTTTCATATGTTGATTTTTCATGCTATTGAGTGCACGCTTGCCACAATCTGAACCCTTATTTCATTTTGTCGTCGTGTGGTCTTGTCTCTTGCTCGTGGCAGTTGCCCTTGCTCAGCATAAGTGTGTGTCGGAACTTTCCGCGGTGCAGGCAGTGGATGCCGTCGAGGCAGGGCATCTTGGTCTGCCATCCGGTCCTTGCCAGAGATTTGTTGAGGCGGCTGAGGCAGCAGAAGCAGAAGTGGAGGCCATCATGAAGGAGGAGGTGTGGACACATCGGCGCAGAGCCAGAAGTGAGTGTTTTTTGTGCTCCCGTTGCGCTTTTGAGACAGGTACTGCGGCGTGCACTTCTTGACCCAGAAGGTGAAGCCAGGAGAAGGAGGGTGCTAGCAGCTCGAGCTTAAGAACGAAACATCCTCCGCGTAGAGAAGCATCCGGAACTTTGCATGGCTAATCGGCTCGGTGTTCCGAATGTCCTGCCTCCGGAGACAGATCTTCAGTCAATGCAAGCCTTGTAAGAGTACGAAAGGCGAGGAGGTGTACACCCTGAACTTGCGTATTCCAGTTTCGAGCCCCTCTGAACCAAAATCCTAAATCCGGAGAGTCTGAACCTAGCCAGCTGGTACTCGACACCGAATCCAATGTGTGAGCCCTGTTGAGTCGGAGACAGGTAACCGGTAACCCCGAACATCCCGAAGTAGTTGAACATGCAGGGGTATGCAGGGATTCTGATCCGTCCGGATCCTCAAGGAGTGAAGGAAAGCCGAGCTGCAGAGCCTCTGAAACCGACAGGGGTGACGTCCGGGAGGGTAGCTGACGATAGACAATATCACGCCCTGCGGGTAGACGGACTAAACCTAACACCCACGCTGAATGATTCGTTTTGTCTGGTCTGCCGGCGGGCATAGACTCACTTTATTGGATTCGGGAAAAATACCATTCACAGACCGGCAAGTTTCGAGGTGCATGTGTCCTTGCTCTCATCCATTGCCAGCAATCAAAGCAGAAAAGTGGCATTTGCAGTCATCCCAGGCAAGAAAATCGCAAAGTGGCGCTTGACCGAGAACAAACAGGCGCATTGCTGTCAGCTGGAACACGGGCATCCGAGGACGACGCAGGTGGAACTTTGCGGGGCGGGCCGCGCGCGCCCGCTCTGGAGACGATCGTTACCGGGAGCACGAGGTGCCAAGGGGCTCTTGCAGTCTGCACAGCAGCACAGCAGTCGAGTCAAGCCCTGGTGGCCTTGCTTTGCCTTGCGGATCCTTGCAGGTAGATTTAGAATGTCGCAGAAAGCTTGCCTTCCGTGCGCGGGGGCGTTTCAGAGGAGCCGCGAAAGCCTCACTGGTTCATCCAAACAGTTTGGGGTCTTCCGAAGGTCCTGTTGAAGATCGTGGAGACGAGCGGCAGAACGGAAACATGGACAAGCAAAGAGAGGAGCTGGGCAGCGGTACAAATCACAAGTTATCCCAGAAAGCTCCCTTCCAGGCATTGAAAGTGCAGCTTGCTGGACCCTCTGTGCCCGCTCTCCAGGCAGACCTCTGCGGTGCTCTGGTTGACTTCACTATGTTCGTTTGTGTTCTTCGTGGAAGGAAAGGAAGCGTACCCGCGGTGAGCGGAGCCCACAGGAAGAGCGGTTGAATCCACCAATCGACCTACTGGTAGCCAGAGTTATGTCCCGTTTCGGCAGGCAAATCGCAGTCGACGTGGAAGAGGGTGCCGGCCGAACTCTTGCTGTGCTGTTGCTCGTCCTTCCAGTCTGTGCACAAGCCGAAAAGAATCGAATATCACAAAGATGCAAGGTCTGGTGCAAGCGTACCTGCATGAAGAACTGGGAAACTGACCTGGGGCGGGAAAGGGGGGCTACCCCATGCTCTTGTTGCCACATTCCCCACCGGATGCATCTGCTGTAACATGACGGATGGCGCATGGTGACACCATCAGATTGCATCTGGATCTAGCAGGAGAATTGACATTATGTCGAGGTTGGCTTCTGGAGCTGCCAGTTTCATCCTAGCAAAGAAGCACTTGAGTTCAATGCCGTCTCCTGAGTTCGGTGCTACCCTTAAAGAAGAACATAGACGTGCCCCTGCTTCGTCGACACGTCATCGGCCCAATGATGGCTTCCGCTGTGACACGACGTGCATTGCATTTTCAAACTAGGCTGAATCATCCACATGTCAATTACCCCCGATGTGGCAAAGCTTTAAGGGCCGCACAATAGCTAGACAATATTAGAAAAGCGCGCAGGCTTTCGGTCCCTTTTGCCGAGCATGCCCGCAACTACCTCAAGGGATGCTGCCCATCGCTGCTCGCACAAGTTTTCTCAGCAGAAAGCACGGCAGGTGTCATGCGACCTTGCGTCCAACAGGAAAAGGAGATGTTTATATAGTTCATTATAGTTCCAGCACAACTCCTCAAGTCGCATCAGTATGCATTGCATCGTCAACAAAGCACCAGCCCGCCGACAGCATGCGCAAACTCACACGACACCGCATTCCATCCATGCTTCATCCGACCCAAAACGACCGCCGCCGGTACTGCAGTTTCCCTGCCACACGTGTGTCGTACACGACCTCCTGCGGTCCAACGCAGCTGGCGCCCAGTGTCGCTGCCTATTTATTGCTTTCAGTGGCATGTGGCAGCCGGTCACCCGCTCGCTACTGCTGTGCAAAGCTCCCAATTTTCTCGAACAACACATGATCACGATGGTGAGGGCATGTCAAGGTCATAAATATCGGTCTTGATACACTCCGGCTCATGCGTCTTTGACCCCCGCCTCTGACAGCAAGCACACGCTGTCTTTTGAAATGCTGGCAGCCAGTGCGACAAATGCTGCGCTTTTCCGGACCAGATAACACTGTACCAGCACGTCAGTGGCGTGCTGGCAAATTTTCAGTGTCAAGCTTTCGTGTACGTCCGGGACACGAAGCACACCAGGAACTTGACGACAGCAACGACCGTGGCGCATCAACATCGTCCTCCCCAGCTTCATCATCATCATCATCATCATCATCATCTGCTTTTCTTCAGCGCCGTTGGTTTTGCGTAACATCGAGCATGAATGAAGTCATCACGATGATCAGTGTTCAAGCGTGTGTTGTGAGTGCTTTTTCTGTTTGTTTCATTGCATGTGTCCTCCTTCCTGGACGGTGTGGAATCGGAGCAGGTGTCGCGAAGAAAAGCCAAAGCGATTCAGGAGGGTCTGAGATCCTGTCCAGTTGGGCTTTTCTTGGTCCATACTTGTCAGGTTGCCACCGCTCGATTTTCCAGAGCTGCCAATATTGATAGCCGATGGAGACGACCACGTTGCTTCCTCGGGTCGTGGATCGTTCCAATGAAGAACCAGCTTTACATGTCGGGTGTCGATCTGCTTCGGCAGGTTGTGATTCCGGAAGCCAGGACGGGCTGTGAAATGTTCGTGCGCTTAACGGACGTTATCTTGAGTGGCTGCAGGGCAGGCAATCTTCCTGCCGTTATCCAAATCGATCGAGAGTGTCGTCAGGCCACAGTTGATGCTGCACTGCTTGAGTGCGAAGCCCCCCATGGCCAGATGTGCTGTTGGTGTGCGGCAGTTCCGAGCGAGCTGGGAAGTTGACAGGCAAGGGCGTCGGAGCTGGAGAAGATGCGGGGAGATCTCGCCATGGAGCTGGAGGTTGTGCAGAAGGTTCTTTATCCTGTTCTTCAGGGGTATACTTCGATTCCTTTGTCAGTCCTCGATGACTTCGGAGTGTTCCGAGATTTAAATGAAGTAGCTGTTCAGAACGGGTCCGGTGAAGCCTGCGCCAGTGTGTTTGGAAGTTCGATAGCTCGTATCGTAGGCATGCTCTTGCCAAGGAGCGTGCCGATGCGGCAAGAGAGCTGCGACAAAGCTGCGTTGTGGAGGCCAGCTTTTGCGCACATCGCAGATGCTGCGACTTTGCCAAGAGGCAGTTGAGACACTGGCACGAGGAGCCGGAGGAGCAAAGAAGGAAACTGAGGTGGAGACGCAAGCGCAAGGGGTAATAACAAGAGCAAGCGCTCGAGCGAAAGCAAAGGCAACAGCAAGCTGACTGGCAAGCAAAGGCAGCACAAGCAATCTTGACGTTGAGTGCTGTTTCATCTTAGAATAACAGCATTTTTGATGCAATCACTCGTTACCTCTTGCTGTATCAAGCAGGCAGAGGCCGTTGAACGGCTCCGGCAAGCTCTGACAGCTGCTTTCGGCAGCGTCGATGACTAGCGCAGTGGGTTGCAAAGACATCAGTGGGCCGGTCGTCTGCAGTGTACCTGTGCCAACAAGACCATGGGTATTTTGTTTGCGATACGTGGGTCAAAGGATGAAAACAAGAAACAGAGCTACCGGTGCATGAGTGCATCCCTTTTGAAAGACACGAGCTTTTGATCTGTAGGGCTTAGGGTCGGCGCCGACAAAGGCACATGTAAACAGGCCCCAAGAAAGCTTCAGTAGCGCCATGGCGGTGAACCCTTTGTTGGCACAGGCAGCTTGAATTTTGGACATGACACATCGCCAACACACACGGCAAAGGATGGAGCCAACCAGTCGCTCTTCCCGATGCCAGAAACCGGAGAGGCAGTTTCTGTGACCTCTGCAAGGAGCTTTGCTATGGCCCTGTCTGTGCGCCTTCAGGCCTTTGTCCTGAAGCGGGACAACATTGATTTTGAGTGCTCTCTCCCTCGTGGAGGCAAGCTTTGGGGCAGGCCTTGCCCTTAGAGCTGTCCCAGGAAGCGACAGAATCTAGATATCATCTCCCAATGGACCAGGGGCTCCTTCTTTCTCTCCTCGAAGCGGATCGTTTTCGTTGCTTTGGCTGCGGCCCTACGGACGAACACTTCAAAAGATCCAATATGAGAGCGCTTCAAGGACAAGTCATGTCGGCAAGATTTTCGATCCTTCGCGATTCCACTTCAGACACTTAGGCCGGGGACGGGGGTGTGAACGTCCAATGCGTATCACTCTTTTTCGGAATGGGCTCATTCCATGGGAGACCCTAGCCTTGGCCAGAACGCTGCAGCATCTGCCATGCCAACGAGCTGCGTTCGCATGCCCAAGTCTGCGATACCAATGTCTTGGAGCGTAGGGCGACCGACGGAGTGTATTATGATCCAGAAGAATCGAGCATTGCAAGATCTTGTAGGTTTGCGCAGCGCCGGGAAGAGCAATGTGTCAGCTCGCATGAAGTATGTCATTTCGTGAGCTAGTGCCAGAGCCAGTGCAGCTAGTGCAGGTGCTAATGCTTTTGCTACTGCCGGTTAAAGTACGAGTGCCGGTGCTAGTGACAGTGCCAGTGCTAGAGCAAGTGCCAGTGCCAGTGCTAGTGCCAGTAATTTTAGCCAGCGAAAGTGATAGTACTAGTGGCAATGCTGGTGCTAATGCCAGTGCTAATGCCAGTGCTTGTGACAGTGCCCGTCTAGTGATAGTTCCAGAGCCAGTGCCCACGGTAGGGCAATTGCCAATGCTTTGGCTAGTGCCAGTGAGAATGCGATTGCTAGTGCCAGGGCTTTGACGGTACCAGTCTAGTGCTACACCCGCCCTCCCCTCCCCTCATGCCTGGCAGAAACCTCGCGCACTAGCCCGGAGAACTTGAATATCCTGAGTGGCAGGTGTTCGTTCCTCCATTATCCATTCCGCCCGGCGGGCCAACCATCGGGCCGACCAAGCAAAAATAATCCCACTGAATAACCCCAACAGCGGAATGGCTGTCGGTGGGCTGACAGACGTGCTAGATGAGGGCATTGAACAAAAGATTCTGATTCGAGCGGTTTATGGGTAGCTGCGTTTTCGGGTGTAAAAAGGGCATGGAGCCCCAGATTTTGTTGAAGCCAGGGCGACATGCGTTTAGGAGGCCTCGGGAAAGGCATTTGGGGGTTGGCTGAAGAAGCTCCTAAATGCACTTTCGAACCGTTGAAAAGTGCTATTTGTACCTTGGAGACCAAAATAATATGCGCAGTAGGATTTTCGGGTTTAGGGACGGCATGGAGCTTCGGATTTGTTGGAACCAGGGCCACATGCTTTTAGGAGGCCTCGGGAAATTCATTTCGGTTTGGTCGGAGGCTTGGAGCAAAGCTGAAGCAGCTCCTACATACGCATTCCAAGCCTTGAAAAAGGCCTAGAGACCGCAGTAAAATTTCCGGGTTTAGGGACGGCATTGAGGCTCAGATCTGCTGAAACGAAGGCTACATGCGTTTAGGAGGCCGCGGGAAATTCATTTGGTGTTGGTCGGAGGCTTGGGGACCTCCATTTGGCTTGGGGGAATGGGGCGAGGGACACCAGCAAAGCTGAAGCAACTGCTAAACGCGTTTTCCAAGCCTTGAAACATGTATTTTGGGGCCTTGGAGACCAACGTCAAGCATCTGCAGTAGGATTTTCGGGTTTAGGGATGGCATGGATCTCCAGATTGATTGAAACCAGGGCCAAGTGCGTTTAGGAGGCCTTGGGAAATGCATGGGTTGGTGGGAGGCTTGGGGAACTCGATTTTGGGCCAAGAAAACCGGCCAAGCTGAAGCAGCTCCTAAAGTTGAAAAATGCACCTGGGGCTCCCTAGAACTACAGCATTCGCAGCACAAATTTCGGGTTTAGGGACCTGAAACCAGGGTCAAATGCGTTTAGGAGGTCTCGGGAAATGCATTTGGGGTTGATCAAGGCATGTGGGGTTGGTCGGAGGTTTGGGGGAATGGGACCATGGGCACCAGCAAAGCTGAAACGGGGCATGCGGGGTAGGAGGGCAGGGCACCCAATCCGGCGTGGGAACTGCTAGGAGTGCGAATCAGAATAAACAACCAAATGTCCGGAAGGCGCCGGGAACCTCCCGCAACCCGCACGGAACTGCCCCGCGAATCTGCTGGAACTCTGCAGAAACCCCTACCGGTCTGGAAGCCGCCGGTGTCCTTGCCATTAAATTGCCCCAAAGCTTATTTCGGCTGAAGACCCCCAGAGCTTACGCTGCTGGGGAACTAAACTTGTCGAGATCATGGAAGAAGCTATGCAGCATCGAGCAGAGTGTGTGTCTGCGTGACAGGAAGCCGAAGTTCGAGCAGCCAATCTTCGGCCTCGCTCTGACCGGTCCGTGCGAAACCGCTGCGGTCCGCTGACCTGAAACGAGGTGCAAACTATTTAGCTGGATCCACGCGGCCACTCCCTGGAACTGAAAACGCACCTGCCTGAGCAGACACGGCATTCTCTTGATGGTGCAATGTGCACTTGTGAGGACCAGACGGCGGCCCCACTATTGGGTGGAGACACGGCGCCCCTGGTCAGCGAAGCCTCTTGTTCACAGGGTTTTGCTTGAGTGCAGCAGGTTTTCTACTTGACCTTTCGCAGTGGAGGTTGCAGCACTCGCCTCAGAGTGTCGAGGTATGTGATTCCATTGCGATTTGAGTGCCAAGATACTTTTCTGCAGCTCCTCTTCCAGCTCTTGTCGGAGGTCCAGGCACGGTTCATCTCTGGGAGCTTCAGCCCACAGGTGTTCGAATTGGACAGGCGCAGAACTCTCAAAACACCATCGCCTCGAGCTCAGTTTCAGTATCAGCCTTCAGACCACTTTGAGATGTTCAATTGGTTCTTCATTCGAGGCGCAAGCTGCACAGGAGGGTCGCTTGAATCAGGCTTTGGAGAGTTTGGTTTGCCAGTGTCACCGCCGTGTCGAGTTCCACTTGTGAAGGTGGCCTATGTTGATCCCAGCGATCCGTCAGTGCTGTATCTTTCTCAACCTACTGCCGTAGCCGGTTCGGAGGCGCTTCCAGCGTACAGCATGTGCTCTTGCCTGCATGTGATCATGCTGCACAGGAGCAAACTAACTTTCAGATGGACGCCCCTTCAGCGCCTCCACCTGAAGGCGGTGTTGCCAAAATATATAGACGTGCAGTTGTAGATGATTCCGCATCTGCCAGGACATCCTCAACCTGCACGTGGTGGCGGCAACCAACAGTGTGTAATTTGCTAAAGCCAACGGTTTGCTGAGAGGTTGGAGAATGAAGCCGTCTCACTCACGCTCCATCGAAAGTACGCTGCAGGGGGATGGATGTGGCTTGATGCGGCATGCACCCAAGGGTCATTCCACATGGCTTGCAGCCACGACTTCAGTTTGTGCACCATGTTTTCGCGGTTTGGCTTCGTGTCTAGAGTCTAGACTGGCCATGGGGATGATAATCGAGTCTGACTAGCCTTATAATAATGCGCGAGCGTCCGCCGAGTGCTTAGCATGGTGGTTTCCACGGTGGCAAAGAGTCCCAGAGCCGAGGAGGCACAAGTGTACGCTGCTCTTGAAATGCCCAGAGCCATGGAAATGGAACGTATTCCCCGAATCTCATGCGGATGCGGATGCGGCAGGTCTATATGACGCAAGATCAGTGGACAGCTGCTCTTGAAGAGCTTCTCGAGGTTCCGCCTTCATGGTGCACGTAAATGATGCCCAACGTGGGCCGTGCAGGAAGTCCGGCTATCCATCTTGAAGGAGACCCAGTATTCACATGCAGCGATATGCGCTAGTAATATCAGCTGTCCGTCAACCAGGACTCAGCGACTGATCTCCTTGATGGTGACCCTCGCCTGCAGACCATCTTCGAGCGGCTGTCAGAGAAGCTGACGGCTCTTGCCCAAGCTGCAGCTTCAATCACTGCCATCCCACCGGACTGTTCGTCGCGGAGAGGAGTCCCCTGGCGACGGTGGCAAAGAGCTCTCGGATGCTAAGTCTGCACAAAGGCAGCCTGTGCATACTGCCTTGCTGTTACACACGCCTTGGTGTGCAGTCTCGTATTGTGCGTGAAAGCAGGCTGTGGACGAGGCAGCGCATCACGACATCTGCTGCACTGTCTTGAGTCATGACGACAAAGAAAGGCTTTGTGATGGCTCGTCGCTCTCGCCCTATCTTCTTGGTGTTCTGGCCCAGACATCTTGAAACTATCATGACGGATCCGTCGGATAACATATTTTTGATCAAACATGTTAGTGCTTCGTCATGACCTGCTCCCCCAACCTGATTCAACAACTAGCTTGAAGCGGTGAAACTGTGCCCTGCACTGCCTATGGCTGGCAATGCGGGACCGTGAGCGAATCTCCAATGAATCTGAGCCGAAGTGACCGACATTGTCGAGTGGTGTACCTGGACAGCGAACATATGAGGGGCTTAAGGGGCTCTGTGCTCGAGAAGCTTCGAGCACTGCAGGTATGCTCGTGATGATCGTCTCCAGGCCGCCGTGCTTCGTTCTGTGGAACAGAACGACACGATCTTCCTTGCGGCCGCTTTTCCGCTCATCTGAGAATCTGCTGTGAGGCCCCCGCGGAGCAGCTGAAGGGCAGGATCAATGCTTTGGAGGAGGCGAACGAGTTACTCGGTTCGCTCGCTGCTTCGATTGGTTACTCTTCATGCTGGACTCCTGGACCGAACTGACAGGAGAATCGCCGGCTCGAAAGCTGCATCGCCAGCGGATTCGGAACCTTCTAGCCGTTCGTTTGCACGCTCAGCTGCCAGGCATTTCGAAGATCAGAAGCTCGCAGCGCAGTGCCGAAGGTGGCTTTCCTGTCTCTGAAGTCAGACGAAAGGTGTCTGTGCGATTTGCATAAGGCCTTGCCATGTCTTTGTCTCCGAACTCTGTTGCAGATTCCTCGCAACGAGGGCCCGACCACTGATTTGCAGTTCGTTGAAGCGTGACAACTTGCAAATCGTTGCAGCGTGAGTGACAGGAGTGCGACTGCTGCAGAGCCACGGTGCAACCTGCATGATGTGGTATGTGAGACGGCCAAGACAAGCAAATTGTCAAGCCAGGTCAGAGGCTGCTGCTTCAAGCCAGGAGGCCTGCGTTTGATCTCTGCACCACAAGACATCCTTTCCTGAACGCATGGTCCCCAGGTTGAGCCTGCGCCGGCGACTTTGCCATCACAGCTCCCAAGACAGGCGCGTTGCAGGAGCATGGCGAACAGACGCAGCACATTCCGTTCGATGAGGCTGTGATCGACAAAAGCATGGCCAATCGCCCAGCCAATTCAGCCTTTACTGTACGTGTGTAGTTCGCTTTTCTGTTCGTCGTAGCTTCTCTGGGCACTTTGGACGGCAAACGCTTTCTCGGAGAGCGCTGTACCATCTTTGTCGTTTACCGGCCACGTATGTCAGCAGCCCCGACAAGTCAGACTCAAATTGATACCCGCACTGCCCAGGCCTTGCAAGAGACAGGACTGTGCTCTTGGCATGTGCAAGCCAGCTTGAGAGCTTGATGACGACTAATCGGCTGAGCTGAGAAGGAAGCGCAAGACACTTGAAAGCGACACCGCCAGGGCAAAAAGCTTCAAGCCCCACGCAGGCTGGGCATTAAAGCAACATCCTGAGTTCCAGAAGTTCAGATCCGAGAAGAAAGGCTCCTGTTGCAGATGCTTCGCCGGAGCCCAAAAGAGCCTCGTTTTGGGCTGTTCCTGACGGTGCTCAGCGCTTGCTCTGAGGTCTTTGAATAGCACGGTGAGCTGTGAGGCGGCGGGGACTTCTGATTTTTCCAGATGCCGCCCCCACTTCCCCACTTCGATCTGTGCCAGGCCAGCACAGCATCGCCAGTTCTAAACCGTGCAGCAGCCCAGGAGAGGGCAAAGAGAGCATGGGAGTGCACTGCACTGCGCAGTCCTTGAAGGCCGAAGCAAAGGCTGCATTCTTGGAAGCTGCAGCCAAGCGGGGAAGCGGCTTCGCAGAGGCAACATGGCAGTATGTCAAACAGAGGAACTGCAGACAACCCACTTGCTCTAGCATGGCGACAATTGCAGTGAAATCAGAAGTTCTCGTCGCCGAGGTGTACAACGAGCTGCTGAGTTGTGCTTTGCAGGTATGGGAGGCTTGAGAGACCTTGAAAACAATTGCGAGCATCACCTTGTGACATGACGCCTTTTCCTGACCAGGCTCGGGCAACAGCGGCCACTTTGGAAAAGGAGCGCAACAAGGTGTCCTTTCTTGCAGTGACGCCTCAGGCGGCCTCAGGCTTCATGTCTCTCAGGCTTCAACGGAAGCACGCGAACTTCGAGCTTGCAATGCTCGTTTGGAGGAGGCTGTCTCCTCGTTGCAGGCGGTGGGGGTGATCTCGCGGCGTGTGTCGGCTCTGCTCCAACGTCTGGAGAGGACCGCAACAAGGAGCTCTGGCAGAAAGACTTCCTTGGGTCAGCGACCGAAGCGCAGCCCGGCTGTGCAGCACAGCACAGCCCGGCCACTGCACAGCAGGGCGCAGGGAGCAGATGGGATCCCTGCTAACAGCGGGCTGCGAGAGGTCTGCCCTTCGGCCTGACACGAGCCACGCGACTGCGGCTTGGCATCTCTTGACCCATTCAGCCTTGCGTTCTATGTCTCACTGTGCTGTGGTACCGCAAATTCAGGCTGCCAGCGGGGCCCTAGGCGCTGGGGCTCAGGCTGCAGCAGGCTGCAGCACAGCCACATGCCAGCTCTGCAAGGCCGACAAGTCTGGGCAGCACCTTTGAGTCCACCGCCGCGCTTTCGGAGCCCTTGTTCGACGGCTCCAGGCCGGCGCACCGGGTTGTAAGCCCTCTCTCCACGCCTCCACGGTCTCTACACCCTTGTCACCAGGCAATGTGCCGGGAAGGTGGTCTGCGCGCATTGCTCAGCAACGACTTCTGCTAGGAGCCTGTTCCAAACGGCCCCTGAATTCTTGACACTGTCAAGGGTGCCGTCGTTCTCATCATCCTCAGGCCAAGTTGCATGGACTCGGCTGTGCCTTCGAAGCATGCACATGCTGCGTCATGCCGCGTGCAGCAGTGCATGGTGAGAGAAGTGGGAGATGTGGCTTGTTCAAAGTGTGTCAGATCTGTTTGCTTCCGCGCGTGTGGTGGACTCAGCTCGGAGTGTCTGAGTCTCGGAGTCGCAAGGTGTTGGATCTCATGTCCTGCAGGAATCTGCTCTGAAGTCACCCAGGCCCGGTTTAGCTCAGAAGTCCGACGTGAACAGAATAAGGATTCGGCCAACGTCATATGTCAGGATCCAAGCATCGTCCGGCCAGGTATGAAGCTCGGAAGTGAAGCTTGGTACAGCTGTTTATCTCTGTCAAATTCAAAGCCGATCGGTCTTGTGAGTAAGGTTTACGCCTATGCAGCTCCTGTGGCATCTTGCCCGATGCAACAGGGGTAAGCCGGCCTTAGACCACTACAGTTCACTTTGTCTGTCTGATGTTGCAGGCTGGACCCTGCGCGGCTTCCTCCACAGGCACGGAGCAATCGGAGTCTACCGTGACAGCGATGGCGGCTGGCACCTCAGGATCAGCAGACGCAGGCGTTTCAACAGGGCTGGCGCCTATTTCACCAACTAGGCAAAGATGCAGAGGCAAGGGCCGCAGGCTGAAGATTTGGTCAAGCCAGCTTTGCACGCCCCATCCTCGCCGTCAGCCGCACCGTCACCCTCACCCTCACTCCCATTCTCACCCTCACCAGCCTGTTGCTCACCCTCTCACCCTCACTCTCACCCTCACCCTCGCCCTCATTCTCACCGTCACCCGCCGTCACCCTCAAACTCACCCTCACTCACATTCTCACCCTCACCGTGAACGTCACTCTCACCCTCACTCTCGCTCTCTGTCTCGCCCTCGCTCTCACCCTCACTCTCACTCCCATCCTCACTCCCACCCTCACTCTCACCGTCTCTAGTTCTCAATGTTTTGACACCTTTGCTCTACGATCTACCTTGTTTTCGGAAATGCACGAAATTTGCATAGAGAAATGTGTCACAGCACGGCATCAACACACAGGAGCACTCAAATGCATCCACAGTTTGATAGCGTGTTTTTTCGACAGCTTTGCAGGCTGGCTCCCTGGATGCTTCTGCCAGGAATCAGCCTTAGTTCTGTGCGCAGCAATGTTGAATCTGATGCTGTGCGTCTTTCAAGCACTAGTCGAGAGCATGACTCAGGCAACGGGCATCTACACTAATGTTGCAAACGAAGAAGGCCGCTGGACTCTGCATTGCTGCACATCAATAGTCCGGCACATGAAGTCGGAGCGTGCAGGGGATGCCAAGCGAGTTTCGCGAGAACCCTGCTGTTTGCGCAGTGTGGCGAGAGGCATCAAGATGTCCGGGTAAGTACCAAGCACGGTAATTGCACACATGCGCTCAAGTGCTGACCAGGCTTTGTTGGCAGGTGCCAACTCGGAGTTGCTTTCTGCTCAGCCTGAGTCTTACAGACTTTCGAAGGCGGGGTTAACCTCCACAGCTCATCCCTTCAGAGGGAGAAAACCAGATTTGCAAGTCCGGGCGGCCTCGTCTGGCTTCCCGAGGTCGTTCAGCAGCATCGCAACTGATTTGCAGGTCACGGAGACTGGTGATTTGAGCTTGTGCAGCAGTGGGAGCTGACTTGGCACGGCTGCTGGGTTTCACTAAGAACCACTCAAACTTCGTACCGGAAAACTCAAAGTCATGATAGTCACGGTGTTCCCATCAGCGATGGTTTCGAAATTCTTCGAAGTTTCACGGAGTGGGCACACCCACACCGCAGGTGTGAAACAGCGCACCAGCGGCGAGGATGACCGAGGTAAATGTAGAGAAAAAGAACGGACCTGCTGAAGCTTGGAGTGGAGGCAGTGGCAGTGCTCGGACTAAGAGCGAGAGGGCGGCAGAGCATCTCTCATGATGCGGATGGTGTTGCGGAGGCAATGGAAAGCCTATGCTGCAAAGGCTTTGGCAAGTATCGACAGGTGCGAGTCCGAGTGGGTCGGTCGGCTGAGTCGGTCGGGCCTTGTTGGCGCTGAAGAAAACCAAGGCGGGCTCATCTCAAGGATCAACATGGTCAGCCACGGGTTAGGGCTACGAAGGCCGGCCACTCTTGGTAGGCGGCGGGGGAACCTTGGGAGATGCCAGGACATCTCGGGATGTCGACAAGTCGAACTGGCAGACTGGCGAGGCTCCCTCCCCAGCCGCCGAACTGAATCTTGCAAGGCTGCTAGGTCAACGAGGCGTTTTGCGGCGAAGAAGGTAAAGGAGAGGAGAGACTCCTCCTAAATGCTTGTCTCTGGTCACGGTTGCCGGTTGCCTCCCGAATTGAGAGGTGTCACTGTTTAGGTTTCATTCTTGGCATGCTACCCAGGTCGCGCGCGAGCCCGGGTCTTGACTGAGAATGGGGAGCCGCACTGCTGTCGCAAGTTGGAGCGGCATAGACTGGCGTTTCACATATCTGCGTGATTGATGCCAGGAAGGAAGTTCGCATAATCAATTTACACGGCAAGGAGGCGTCAGCATTTTTCAATGTCATGTGCGTCCATGTCAAGAACCCACGGCATTTCACGCATCAGGATGTTTACACCCAAAGCTTCTTCGGGTTGGCAGCAGGGACCTTAAGCTTCGGAGACGTCGGTTGACGTAGTGCGAACCGCAGTAGACTGCCGGACTGCAGGTGTGTTCATCGACAGCTCAACGCTTCCAGTGTACAAGGCATGGTCGCTGTGTCGGGAAAAGCATGCGATGCATGGTGCTAGCCGCACTCAGTGTACGTGCATCAAAGCCAGGCACTTTCAGAATCAAATCTGACTTCCATGTCAGTGCAGAGGCAACAATGCTTGCTCCTCCTAGCAGATTGGTCTGCGGGACAGCGGGCAGTCATCAAGCAGAGTTTGCAGGAGCAGAGTGACTGTCGGATTGTTGGTCCCTTCAAGAGTCAGCATCAGGTTTTTGGGCGTGAGCAGACGAACCGACTGACGCACAACAGACCACACTCGAAGGAGATTTGCAAGATCTTCCCAAGACTGGTGCTCACCTCAAGGGCTTTCACGGCACTGTCCGAGACTAGCCTTGCTTGCAGTCCCTACAGGAAGTGCTGTTCCAAAGAGAACTGCGGGAGGCGGACCAGCACAGCATCACTTCAGCGTAACCATAGCTCGGACACGCCAGGGAAGACAGTTGGTCGCTTGCGCAGAGGACCCTGCTTGCACTCACGATCTCTGACAGCGAAAGCTTTGTGCACACCGCAGGACCTTGAAGAAATGAGCTTCGATCCTCTTCTGGCTCATCTAGAGAAGCAGATTGCAGAGGTGCGGTTCTAAAGAGACACATTTGGTGTGGCAAGAGGGGCAAGGCGTTTTCCGGGTCGTTGCACTCCTAGGGCCGGAGCTTGCTTCCGCGCCCACTTCACACTCCGACACTGTCAGGGTGTGAACACCGCTGTTGCTTGCCGACCGAAAGCGTTGAAACGGGAGACCGAGAACTTGAGCCGATGTCGACTCAACAAAGCAGATGAAGGTCACAAAGCCATGGGGCACGTGCATTGCTTCTTGTGGTCCGGGCATGTCCGGGCATGTGGCAAAATCACCTGAGTCGTTCTGGCGACAGGACGAGGGACTATATTCCTGGTGGCGAAGCTATGACAGGTAGTGGTGGTAGATAGTTGCAGCAAGCCAACCCTGTGTCTGGCTGTCAGCCTGAAACCTGGTACAACATGATCGTCATGCCGCCCTGTTCCCCGGGTGGCAGATGCGATGGACATCCACAGTTCTCGTTTGTGCATCGAGTCGACGGACCCAAAGAAGCAAGGAGGATCATCTTCAGGACAACCTGTGCTAGTCGGTGGACGAAGCCTTATCATGATGGCCAAATGAACTCGGAGTGTCGAGCCAGCTGTTGGTAGCGAAGTCTGAGGGGGAACAGGGCGCTTCTTACTGTTTGTTTTCGCGCATGCTGCCTTTCAAAGTTTTGCGGCGGCTCGAGCACCAGAAGGTCTCGAGGATTCGTTGCTAAGAGGTCCCTGCAGGGTGTTCCCCTGAACATGGAGACACTCATGATGCTCAGTTCAGCTTATGCTTGTCTGCCACTGCTAGATTCACCCCACCGAAAAGACTTAAGAAGGGGTGGTTGCCGTGGACCTACTTGAAGGCATTGAGGAATTGAATTGTGTTCGCATGCGTCCTTGCTCATTTCCCTTCATCTAATTTGCTGTAGCACTGTAGCAGATAACGCCGAATGGAGTTTAGCGATGCAGCTGTGTCTGAGGTTGGAGATGAGCATCCTGCAGTCGCCGAGCCGAGACTCGCAATATGCCAAACCTTGCTTGTCCTTCAGCCAGCACGCTTCTGGATTGTGTCTGATAAGCGGGGTAAGATCGGAAGTTTCGATGGACTTGGATTCTGTGGCTCAAGACCTCCATGGAAAGGGGTATAGCAGCATGGAGGGGTCATTCTATTGGAGCTTTTTCTAAATCCGATCTGGCTCGGGTACTTTTCTTGTTTGGCGTTGGAGCCCACATCGAGCCATTGGAGTCCTGATCACCAGAATACAGTCTGGCCTTGACGGAAGAACTATTTCTTTCACATGGAAACCTTTGGCCAAGTGTAGTGTCTTGGGATGCTCTCATAGCCGTGGACGGTCGACCTCGGCTCAGAGCTGTAAGTGAAAATCTGCTGATGCTTGCTCTCGCAGTTTCTGCCGGGATGAGGCCTGTGAGAGCATGGCGGCCAGTCCCCAAGACCAGCACCAGTCAGAGAAAGTGGCATCATGGTGCCACCATACGAAGCCATCCGTTTCGCAGGCGAGAGGATTCTGGCTAGTCCCTGCGGTTTGGCAAAGGAACAGAAAGGTTTTCGTTCACGCGTACAGCAACAGTCGAGGAGTCGAGATAGATTGCAGGCAGTGCCGACTGGCAGTGCGTGGGGGGGGGGGGGGGCGTGTTCTCAGGTTGCTCATGGCAACGTTGCAGGCTTGCTGAGAAAACATGGACATGGCCTGAGTGCAAACTAGCCTGCATCGCCGCATCGCAATCACAGTGAAAGCATGTCCGCAACCAAACGAATTTTAGCCTGGCGCATGCAAGGCTACGCTGAAATAAAGAAGGTGCTGCTTGCGCCATGGCAGTACTGGCAAGCGATGGGCTCGCGACCTGAGTCTGCACAGGTGGGTGAGGGATCGTTTGGGAAGGCATTACTCGTGCGCTCGGAGGCGGGATCCGTTCGGGTGCTGTGTGTTTCAATTTTCAACCCTCTGGGTGGCAGGATGGGCAGAAGCTAATCTGCAAAATGGTAGATGTGAGCAAAGCTTCGCGAAAAGAAATGGAGGACGCGCTTCCTTAGAACTGCTTCTCAGTCACATCGGCTCTGGCAAGAAGGTAAACCCTCACAGTTTTGCTTCGCATGCGAGCCGGCAAGAAGCTGCAACATGGACAACGCACAGATACCTAGAGTCCCAGAGTCCTAGAGTCCTACTAGAGTCCTAGAGGCCGATGCAGACCATTCATGACCGAACATAAGCACATCTCGCAAATGGCAGATGCAAAAGGGTAAATCGAGGAATGGAGAGTTCGCTCCAAAGTGGGGTTGGCTGTGAGACTCCTGACCTCCTCCTTCGTGTTTGGGCTGCCATGGACCATCAGTAACTTTAGTTTCTGCGACGATTGCAGGATGCTGTCAAGGAGGGCAAGTTGCTGTCCGAACTGCTGGATTCTTAAAGAGCCTTCGAAAGCGAGCCGGGAAGATTTACGCCATGCTTGGCAAATATGCATCTGCTCGTGTAATTGAGGAAACATCCATACATCGTCCGCTACCGCGAAAGCTTCACGGAGAGTGGATGGCACGCACCAAACCAGCCTGCACTGCGAGATGCCGATCGATACGAGCATAGGAATTTATGCGCGCCTCGCCAGGCTGTGCATCCTCATGGACTACTGCGAGGGTGGTGATCTCACCGCTCGCATCGCTGAGGCCATCCTGGCTCTGCATTTCTCGATCCTAGACCTGAGCCGGCCTGAGCCTACAAGGCCAAGCGGGGCAGAAAACCACTCTCTGAGGATCAAATACTGCGCTGGTACGCCGGCGAAGTTTCCGCAACATCACTGGGGATTCCGTGATGGTTTAGCTAAGCGCCAGGTTCGTGCAGGCCATTATGGCTTTAGACTACATTCACAAGAAACACGTTCTGCATCGAGACTTGAAGTTCGGACCTCACCATCCGAATCGAGTTTTTTTGAGAAATGGGATGTGTTTGCTTCGCCGAGGCCCTCGAATTTCTTCTTATCGAAGAGCGGGACAACAGGGGTTTCGGGGAAGTTGCGCGGCTCGAATTATTCCTCGTGTTGCTTGCTCGCCTCACAGGAACTTGAAGATGGGAGACTTTGGAATTGCAAAAGCCGGCTTCTGTGCGTGCTTCGTGCAGGTCTGCGAAGTTCACAAATGACTGCTGCTGATGTCCAGGTTCTTGCTTGCACGATAGCTGTCGCAAAGACACAGATCGGAACGTTTGCGACCAAGGGGTTGCTGTTGAGACGTATGGAGTGTCACAGCACCTCCATGCCTTTTTCTCCCGGATGTAGGCCATACTACCTGAGCCCTGAACTGTGTCAAGAAAAGCCCTGGCCTCATCCAACGCAAGTCGGCATTTGGACATGTGTGCTTGTGTGCCTCGCACTTTCAGGGAATACAACTTTCCTTCAGACATTTGGGCAATGGGATGCATTTTGTATGAGTCCGGCCCTTGCTCTGCTGCGTGCTAGATAGCATGGGATAGCACAGGCATGAATCCCGAGGCTTTGTGCACGCAAAGTACCTTTCGATGCGCCCAATATTCCAGGCCTTGTTCGGGAGATTGCCTGAGTCTCAGAAGGCATGTTCTGGATATGCAAGGACTCTTCAGGGGCCTGCCCTCGTGCTTTAGAATCATGGCGACCCATACCTCGGGCAATCGGCCTGCTCATGTTGCTTCAAGCTTCGTTTTCTTTTGCATGAAACATCTGTCCAGAACACCACAGGCTTCTAAGCATTGAGCGTTTAATAAACGCTAAATGTCTGAAAGCAAGCTTTGCCCACGTGGGAGTCCAGCAGATCCACCCCAGGCAGCAGATCCGGGCCCTTGCGTGCATAAGACGGGCCTAGACATAGCAGCTAGCACATGAAGGGTCGTCTGATTTCGTCATTTGGTATAGCTCCGGAGAGAGAAGGGCTGCCCAGGCTGAGTTGTCTGTGTAGGGACAAAGGTGCTCGACTGGCTACGCAATGCTGCGCAATGAACACTACGAAGAGTCCTTCTTCCAGAAAGTGGCAACCTCTTATTGCTCAGACGGATGCCCAGGCGGAGTTGCGTGAATTTCTCCGATATTGAATCCGGTATTGCTGGGCAAAACAGATCAACGACACTGCAGCAGGCAGCCGTCTTGTGGGGCTGCAGCGCTCACGCATCAAGATGCATCAAGCAGTTTGAGCCCCCTCCAGATAGCCCTTATAAAATGGGGTAGGGTAAGCCCCTTATGAAGCGGTTTTTTTAGGGTCACACCACCCATTTTTTAAGGATTTGGTGGTTCGGCAGAGATTCCCCCCCATTTTATAGACGGTGGTGGTAGTTCGGCAGTTACCCCCCTCCATTTTATAAGGACCTGGTGGTTCGGATTGGTTCGGCATGTCCTGTATGTAGCATTATGTACGGCCCTTGTGCATTCATAGAGTATTCATAGAGTATTCGCAACAGGAGATTACAGTCTAGCATAGTGAATATGGCCTATATAGCCTCGTATGTAGCGAAAGTAGAATGTCTAGGGTGCATTGGTAGGAGACTGCGTGAGCCGGGCCTTTTTTTTATCCCTCCAAGCCCTTATGCATCCTTTAAAATGGCCCCGCTAGTTCTGCCACCTGCAGGAAAACTCTCGTACCAGGGCCATTTTTTGCCCCGAGTGTCCCCTCTGGCGAACCAAACCACCACAAGCACTACCGCCACTCCTTTGCGGACACGAACAGCACATGCTGCCACTACCACATACCACATTACCCCCACATTCCACCTCCCACCAGCTACATGGCCACATGATTCCCCCAGGGACTGCGTGAGCCGGGCCGTACGTGCTGTTGCGTTGTGCTGCCTTTGTGAGGCTGGGCCGAGACAAGTAGTGAGGCAATAGCAACAGAGCTCGGTTTGCTCCGCTTGAGGCTTGTTCCATGCCATGGCCCGGCGCATCCTGAGCGAAAATGCCATCATGAGGCTTTCGCAAGCGGATCTGCTGCAGCACCTGGAAGCTTGGAACATCAATTACAACCCCAAGCAGAGCTTGCTGCGACTGAGGCTGTGCCTGTTCGAAGGCATGCATCCGCAGGCCTGAGATGCAGTAACATCAGGCAGCAGCACCGTCCATCATGAGCATCCGTTATGTGACTGAGGGCTGTTGTATGTGCTTCGACTGTTGACTGCTTGTGCAGAGCTGGGCAAACAGGACAGTCAGCTTCCATCCGAAACTTAAGCCCACATGCACACTCAACATCTTGTCTTGGGGCCTGCAGAGTCTCTTGTCTAGGGCTCGGTGCCGGCACGAGGCGGCCCCAGTCGCCGCCGTGGCAGCGGCAGAGCCCCGAAGCGCCCTGCAGACAGGCTCGATGCGCCGAAGCTGTGGGAACATGGCATGTCATATCCAGGAGCATCATGGAGCAGCACATGCTTAGCGCAAACATCCTCAGCATGCCATGGGCGGAGGTCCCGCGGCCAGCCCACCTCGTGAGCCAGGGCGTGTTTGTTTCGGCATGTTTCGGCTTCAGTGTTCTCGCAGGGGCTGAGTATGCGCAAGAGCTTGCACCCTTGTCCCTGCAATAGCCTGGTTGCCGGCCTGCTGATGTTTGTTGCTCAAGTCTGCAGTGTATTGGGACAGTGCATCAGCTACGAGCTGGGATGGAGACATGCTTCTGGCTGCTTACAGCAGAGATCCAGAGGTCGGTGTGTGGTCAGCAGCCCTCGGCCGCATCGAGCGCATGTCGTGCTCCACCGGCAGGAAAGCAGAACGACTTAGCCGTATCTGTCTTTACCTTAGTCAGTGAACATCACGAGTTGTTCATGTCCAGCACTGAAAAGCATCCGGCACGGGTTGGCTCCCGTGCCGGACGTGCTTGACACCCCGAACCGCATCCAGGCATCAAGCTGCGCAGAAAATGAGAGCGGGCCACAGGACAGACAGGAACTTCTCGACTCCGACCGCCCTTGTTCCGGACGCCGCCGAGGGTTCCGAGGACGCCGGTTGCAGGTGGGCTTAGGAAGCATGGTCGTGCCCCTTCGCCGGCCTCAACCACGGCCGGGTATTTCCAGCACCGAAGACCCTCCACATGTTTACAAACTCGTAGAGTGTTTGCGTGCCCTCGACTCCGTGGCTGGTAGGACGTGCAACGTGCACCCCTGCAAACGCCTGCGCAGAGGCGCCCCCTTCAGCCAGACCATGCACCCACGATGCCCAGCCCGACCAGGACATCTTCGAACATGCAGATGCGACCTTCGTGGCTTCGACAGACAATAGTCACCAGGCGGCTACCGAAGCTGCCACGGTCATCGGCTGGAGTGCAGCGCCACCTATGGAGCTAGAGCAAGAGGAGCCTGCGATCCCGCCACCGACGAAGACCAAGGACAGAAAAGCGAGGCCGAGGTGGTTGCGCAGATCCAAGTGCAAGGTTGTGGCGAAGCCGACGAAGAAGAAGCAGGCCAAGCCGCTCAAGTCGGTGAAGAAAACCTCGACACCACAGTCACCACTGCAGAAACTGTCGCCATTCCGGGACCATCGCCAGCAAAAAAGGAAGCCTTTGCAAACTCATTTGAGCCCGGAAAAGATGGTGTTTGCCGAGTCAAGCATCCGGCTCTGGCCGGCCTGACTTGGCAGGAGGTGCGAGCAAGGTGCACAGCCTTCTTCGACAACTCGTCAGTTCGAACCCCGACGTTTTTTTGGACGATATGTTCACGCCTCGCTATCAAAGATAAAGGCGGGCTTGCAATCCGGGCAGCGCAAAGCCTGCCTGGAGTTGCTACTGCGTATAGCTTGACAGAGCCACAAGGCCATTTAAAGCACGGCAAGCGAGGGAACCGCGCTACCGCGCTCTGGGGAAGAAAACGTGAGATTCGCAGAGCGTGTTGCCTTGGCCCGCATCCGTTGATGCCCCAAACCCTACTAAGCTGCATGTCACTACCACAAACACTCAGTGCAGCACGACTGCCTCTGCCTCTGCCGCTGCCACCACTAGCACCACCGATGCCACCGCCATATACGACTACAACCACATGCCAAGACGATGCCACTACCACACGCGACCACACCACATACAATATTGGGACTTTTTGAACCGGGCCTGTTGTATACAGGGACTGCGTAAGCCGGGCGGGGCCTGATGCCCGAAAAAAGCCACAAAGCTACCCATGTGATAGATGAAAAAAGGCCTCACTGTACGTCAGCCCCTGGGAATTCCTTGTTACCACGGCCATATTATGGGTTAAATCAGAATGTATAAGCAGATTGCGGGTTTCAAGCCAGTTCAGATCGCACGGGAGCATTCCTCACATAATGGGGTGGGGGACGTCGACAACCCGTGGTACACACGGAACAGATCCTTTATAAAAGGGGGGGGGTGACTTCAAAACCCATGCAAAATGGGGTCACCTCCCGTCATTTTATAAGAACATCCGGGCGCTGTCGGGGGTTAACCCCCCCATTTATAAAGCCCAATCTGGCCCCGACCCCAAAATATAGTATAAAATGGGGGGGGGGGGAACCCACATGGAAACGTGAAGGGGGATGTAGTTTGTTGAGATGTTGTTCCTCGAAAATTTTTGCTGTGAAGCAATGGAAACAAGGCACAGCAAGTAGGCTGCACACAAGCGTTGCAGGCAGATGATCCCAGCATCCTTGTCCCAGGATTAAATCGCGCTCAACAGACAAACATAATATGCGCTCTTGGCACATCCCGGATGCACTCACACAAGCAATGCAATAAAATAGAATGGAAATGATTGGTGAATCCAAAATATCCGGAACAGAAATCCGCATGAAAGGAGAAAGCAGGCTGTCCTTGTTTTTTCTTCTTTCATGTGGGGGTCGGTCAACCCTTGATTTCCAGAGCCGAACTTAACTGAGCGGAACTGATACCCGCGGTAAAAGCACATGCATTGTGATGCGAGCGAGCCGCTCGCTCTGGAGGCACATGCTAGGTTCGATCTTCCAGCGTGGTATCTTCACGTCCCTGTCGTGGTTGCAAAGTCATGAACCCATGCGTGGTAGCAGCACCCTCTCTTTTGCTCCGGAGGTGCCATGAACGGCTGCACGCCGACATGGTGGATGCAATGTTTAGCCCAGGTCCTCCACTGAAGTAGCAGGCGCGGGAAGGCGTGTCTGCCTTGCCTTCCACTTCCCATCACGCCCAAAACCTGCGTTGCACACAGTAGGGCGCAAGTGTTGTTGCTGCATGAAATCTGACAGAAACCTCGGGTGTGACCCTTTATTTCATTCAATCAGGAAGGCGCGCGCGCACACACACACACACACACACACACACACACACACACACACACACACACACACACACACACACACACACACACACACACACACACACACACACACACACACACACACACACACACACACACACACCACCACACACACACACACACACACACACACACACACACACACACACACACACACACACACACACACACACACACACACACACACACACACACACACACACACACACACACACACACACACACACACACACACACACACACACACACGCTCTTGCATCGTATGCGATTGCTCGAAGCCCAAACCGCATCACATATAAGAAGTTCAGATTGAGCTATCGTGTCTGGCAGTTTCCTTCAAACAAACGGATGTCACGACATGTTGCTTCCTGTCCATGGAGCCGTCGCCTGCCAGCACTGTGCTACAATGGGCGAGATGCTGCTGTGTTTGCAATGCAAGCATACGATCCCTGCAAGCAGCCCCCCCACTCTTTGCTTTGTTTTTCATTCAGAAAGTCCGACCAAACGATTTTATCATCCGTGCAAAACCCAACAACCTAGGCAGCCTTGGAAAACAACTCCATGCAAGCATAAGATGCCGAGCCGAGATCCATTCGGAGGACATGTTTTTGTTTGCATTGTGGCGGGCTTTCTCTGACCACCCGATGTTGAGTAGCTAATCGCATTTCATGAAAATGTCCTCATGCAGAGGTGTTTGGGTGTGAGCCGTGTCAAGGTGCGGGGAACAATCCCCAGCGTGACTGCTGCCCAGCAGTTCCGTGTTGCCAAAGCACGGCAGTCAAGCGTAGCGAGGCCAAAAATGCTTTGACGCTTGCACGGACTCAGGCCCGCTTCTTACTCACCGTTTGTCAGGGAGCTCGTGAGCCAGATGCTGAACAGGCGAGTTCTTCAAGAGAATGGTGGGTGGCCATGTATTCCCAAGAGACTGCTTTGTGTTGTGTGTGTTTTGCATTTTCGGCTACGGGGTGTCGTTGATCGTTGCATTAAGATTTAAGATCTGGTGTTTTCTTGGCATCGCATGTCTAACAGGCGGGGTCCGTTTTGTGGTTTGTGCGCTGTTCCGGTATTTCCTGGGTCGTTTCCCGTTGGCTTGGCTCCGTGGCAGTCTTATCTATGCAGATGCTTTCTTGCACGCAAAACCCAACCATCCTGGCAAGGGTCGTACGGTATAATCCGATTGAAAAGATACGGCAAAGCTCCAACACCCAGTATTGTTCTATGGTTGCTGTGTAGCCGTGTTTGATACTTTAGAGAGACATGTTTGTTTGTTTGGTTTTGCTTTCTCTCAGGCTGCGACGAGCACTGCATTTCTTGCCCAGATTTCGTCTCTCCTTCCCAAACAGTCGCCTGTAGCTCACTTCCTCCACCTCGCCCCAATCCTCACACCTGTCTCCTGCAGTGCTGGGTGTAAGAAGAACTGCGTAGCCGTCAGCGCAGGAACCCCGAGCGGCGACCAAGTCCAGAGGAGATCTTGGCAAAGTGGCTTCGCTAAGCATTGGCTTAAGCATGAACGACGCGCGAGTCTTCATATGCAGCAGGCCACGGCTGAGAGAAATAATGCAGCTCATGCTCGATGAAGCACAAGAGGCTGCCCAGGTGACCAGCCGCGGATGACGAGAACACAGGGATCCGTTCTGCTGTGCCAGGCGGCTGATGATCCTGCCGCGGTAGAGCCACATCCAGAGCCAGCTTCCTCCAACAGTGTTCGGGGCACAGTCTTGCACGAGCACTCTCAAACGTAGCCGTTTCTTACGAAGCATCGGATCGCTTTGGAAGGCGGGCTTCTCGCAAGCTGGAAGTCAGACCCCAGCGAGTTGTGCCAGGGCACCAGGATGCACAGTGACATGTTGATGCCAGGTCCCTACAGGACCAACGACATGGTAGAGTACTACTCCGTGTCTCATGGAGCTCCCTCCTCAAGCGCATCTCTGGGTTGAAATGCCGCAAACTGCAAATGTTTGCAAATGCAGATGTCAGTTCGGGTGCGCAAGACGTGTAGCTGCAAGGATTGGTTGCCCGCTACGGTCCTGCGGACCGATGGTGAGGGTCGCATCATCATCGACTTGAAGTGAGAAGCCGAGCAAACTACGTATCCTTGCACTTGTCTGGGTGAGTCTGTAGCCAGATTACAGCAAGGCCCAACACCTGGCTTTCCAAGGAGGTCCAAGATTTGGGTTCCAACTCACAACCGCATCTCATGTAGATTCGTGTGTTCATATAAATCGCAGCATTCACTAGCTGCAGCTTGCCCTGAATAAGGAGATCTTGAACATGCAAATCATAGTTTTCGCAGCGATTCTGGAGGACCAAGCAACAAAAGTCCGACGCCGACGCGATGGCGCATTGCTGAGGCTTAGGCTGAGGATGGCTGAGGGTTACACTTGCCGGTTGCCATTAAGTTGCTTTTGACTCACGTATGGCGCTTGCACAGGTCCGGGATCAAGGGGCGGCTCACCTATGAGGTAGGATGCATCGAACTTGCAGAATTGAGCTTAGCCGCTGAGCTGAACGCCGTGTTGGTTGGAGATTGGTCCGTGCTTGATGTAGTGCTGCGGGTGCACTGAAATGGTCTGTCGGATTGCTGAGTGTTGCTAGGACTCCTTCTGTCGGAGGCCTATGAGACTGTGGCATCAAAAATGAGATAGTAGAAATCAAACCGTGCTGACCGTGAGCTGCAGCTAATCAAGGTAGCCGGACCAGACAAAAACGGGATCCGTGGCAAGAGTCTCACACTTGCTGATCTCTTGATCCATTGGTGCAGCTCGCTGCTGGCTCGCCTGCCCAAGGCGCATTCCCGTCTCCACAAATGGGGCATGCTGCTCACAGCCCTTGCAGACTGTCCGATTGCTGTTTCAGCCTATGTTTCTGACTTAGGCGGAGCCCTTCTTCAGGAGCCGTTGGACTAAGGCGCATGCTGAGACTGGCGGGAAAGGTTCGGTTTTCAACTAACGTTGTGCCAGGCCAGGCAGTCGACCGGGTTCGCGAGGAGCGTCGCCTCTGCATCGCAGGACCTCTGAAGCACACGGCTTTCGAGCAAGCTTACGACACCAGAGCGTTGTGTTTTTAATCCGTGCTTTTGATTAATAGGGGGGATCCCCACCCCACCCCCTCCTGCAATTAAGGGAGGGGGCGGACGCAGGCGGCGCGCAGCAGCCCGCAGTTGCGGACATGTAATTTTAGTGGTAGCAGTAGTCGTAGTAGGAGGAGGCGGAGCAGGAGGGGTAGTAGTAGTCGTAGTGGTAGTCGTAGTGGTAGTGGTAAATAGTAGTAGTAGTAGTAGTAGTAGTAGTAGTAGTAGTAGTAGTAGTAGTAGTAGTAGTAGTAGTAGTAGTAGTAGTAGTAGTAGTAGTAGTAGTAGTAGTCGTAGTAGTAGTAGTAGTAGTAGTAGTAGTAGTAGTAGTAGTAGTAGTAGTAGTAGCCGTAGTAGTAGTAAGCGTCTCGGCCCGAGCTTGTTCGTGAAGACCGGGTCAAAAGATTCATGGGCATCGCTGACCTGCTCTTCTGCTGCTGAACGTGGTATCCACCTGGTTTTGGGGTCTTCGGATCGGGGTGGATGCCACGCTCGCCTCTGGGATCCACTACGAGCGACTCCTATGATGATTCCTCCTCGGAGGACTGGAGCGACTTGGATAGCAATGCTATCGACGAGGACCTGGCAGATCCTGATGATTTTCTCAATGATGATGAGCCACCAGGAGCTCACCTGCCGGAAGCCCCTCGTTCAAAAGTGGACATCCAAAGAGAAGAAGCCTTTTGTGCTTAAGCAGCAGTCTTTTGTGGAGCTGCTTGCCAAGCAGCTCTGCCGAGCTCACCTGGGACAGGAGCTGCGATCCAAGCTCACGGCAAGGCAAGCCGGAGCTCAGCTGCGAGAATTTTGGCGAAGACATGTGGAAGATGATTCCAGGGACCTCCAGTCCTCGGTGGTGGGGTTCCTTAGTGCCGACCGCCGGGAATCATTGGAACATATGGTGGCTGCACTCAGATGCATGCTTGAGGAGCCAATGCCGGACAACGACCTCGCCTGGCTGCTCTCCCTGGAAGTTCTTCACCTGCCGCCTCTGCATAGGCTACAACAGGCTGCCCAACAAGCAGTATATCTCAGCCTCTGCAATACAGTGGGTCGAGAGGCTGCCGCCATGATGGCTTCTCGAGCCACTGACCTAGCCTTCAACACTTTCAGATACTTTCAGCATACCGGCGCTACGACTGCTCTGGCCACTGCTGGATGATGACCAAAGGCGTAAGCTGCAGCTGTGGCTCTTTCAGTGCCGGATGGGTACAGCAGAGGAGCCGCCGGAACGATCTTCCTCCTCGTCCCAGAAGCCCAGGTATGGATGATGACGAACATTGGCTGGCGACACGGCCCAGAGCGGACAGACGCAGACTCTGGAGACGCTGGAGGCTACGCGCAGGATCGCCCCGGAGATTGTCTCGCAGGCGCCGCGGTCGAAAGTCCTTCCTCCCTTGTTTTCGAGCCAGCCACTGTTGGTTGTACATAGTGTATATACTTGGGGCGCTCTCTAGAGTAGGCCGTCATGCATGCTCGCTGCCTATTAACCCTAAGACTCACACCCCTGCCCAAACCCACCACAGTAGGGCGGGTCGCCCAGGTCCCAAGTCCTGGGGTGGCCGATGCAATTCTGTTACAGTACTATTCATTCTTTGTAATATCGCTTTGTTGCAGCCTTGTCGTTCTATGCATCAGGTCACAGACGCGAGGGTTGAGGCTCTCCCTCCACACCTGGATCCCTCTGGAGCCAGTTCCACTGAAGCACCTTCTGGACTCCAAGGTCTGACAAACCTTCACGGTGTTTTTAAATCAGTGCCACAGCCAAAGGCGGCACACAAGCGCGCTTTTCAACGAGCGCAGCGCAGAGCCACGCAACAAGGAGGCACCATGTATAGAGGTCGTTGGTTTAGTGCGTCACAACTTGGGGTACATCACAGCCCGGTCACCACTACACGTAGGCCCAATAGATGGCTCTAGACTGCACTTTGTCTCCTGGAATGTTAGCACTCTCACCACTGATCGTTGTGCCGAACTTCGTACTTGGCTTGCCCAGCCAGAGCAACAACATCTTGACCTGGTCGCAGTTCAGGAAACACATTGGAGGGGACCCATGGAATATAGGACCCAGGGCTTCTTTGGAATACATAGCGGCACCAATAAGCCTGAAGCCGGCCTGCTCCTGCTAGTCAGTCAACTCCCGCAAGTTCCCCGAGCATACGATCAAGGTGCTTGACATCTTGCCAGGACGTCTGGCACATGTCAGACTAGAATCTGATCCTTGCTGTGACATTGTGTTGGTTTATCAACATGCCTGGTCCATTGCCAGAAACACCATGGTGTCCGAACACAGCAAAGAGGCAGTGCTTTCACGTCGGGCCAATGTTTGGGCACAGCTGTATCGATTGGTGGCAGGTTTGCCTGAATGGAATCAAGTTTTGATTCTAGGAGATTTCAATTATAGTTTAAAGCCAGAGACCAACCTAGTCGGACAAGGAGTGCACCGACACACCTGCTATCACGCTACGGACGCTCACATGCTTCAGGACTTAGTTAAGAACTTTGGCTTGGTTGCCCTAAACACTTGGTCCAAACGCGGTCTACGATCCTGCACCTATCACCCCGCCACAGCCAAAGGTCATAGCCAAATTGACTGTGCTTTATGTAGACAGGCACACTGTGATCAGCAGGCGCGTCAGACAACGCCCACTCGGGCTCCTTTTGTGCCGATTTCGGGCATGCGTCACTGGCCTCTGATAGGCAGTATAGGCATCCCCAAGCCTCCCAGAACAAATCCCACTTCGCATTGCATTACCAAGAAGCAAGTTCAGACACAATGCAGTCGCAATCCCACGATCCTTGAATCTTTTCAGAATAGACTGACTCAGCTTCATAATCGTACCCCGTGTCTTTTGCCCCACTCCCTCATTTCTGCTGCCTACAGTGAGGTCACGACTAGACCCGAGCGTAATCCCAATGTTGCTGCACCGCCAGAACCCACCTCATGCACTGTTGCCTCTTTGTGGCAACAACGCGTGTTGGTGAGGTCGCTGCCGCATCCGCCCCAAGGTCCTAGAGGCAGTAGATTTGGGCTCTCCAAGCTGTTTCGGTTATGGAAAGAGTCGTTTAAACTGCAGCAGATTCAAGCTACTCTTAGAAAACAATGCAGGCACCGCAAGCGGGATAGAATCAACACCCTTTTGGCAGATGCGGCGGCCCAGCCGCAGAGTCTGACTTCAGTGTTTCGCCTGCTCAAATCCATTGCACCGAAAACACCGCATCGCAGACTGCAACTCAAGGCCCCCAACGGCTGCCCTCTTAGTACCTCGGACACACTCTCTCACATCCACAAATACTTTCACGATTTGTACCACACACACTCTCCCACAACTGAAAGCACCTCCAGTCTTGATGTGCCGCCTTCGGAGCCCTTACAGATCGAATGGGCAGAGCTCGCGAACGCTTTTGCCAGCCTGCCCTCGAGCAAAGCACTCCCCTCGGCGCAGCCACCAGCGATTTTGTGGAAGTCCGCTGCAGCATGCCTTGCTGACAAGATATTGCCAAGCCTTAATCAATGGCTCAGGGATATGGCCAACCCACGCCCAGAGTCGTGGCATATAGCTGAAATTTTCCTTATGCTCAAGCCTGGCAAACCTCCGGCCCCATCCTCATCATTACGACCCATTTCCTTATTGCATCCTGTGGCGAAGGCCCTAGCCAGCATCCTTAAAGATAAGGTACAGCCGGCCGTCACGAGCTACATGCAGGGCATGCCACAATTCGCTTATTTGCCTGCCGGAAGTGCCCAGGATGCTTTGGATCGTGCACTGACCCACTGCCACCATGCCAGAGCTATTCTGCGTGCGCAGCAAAACAATCCACACCTTCGCAAACAAGGGCACCAAACTGCCCCCTGCAGAGGAGCCATCACTCTATCGGTAGATTTGCAGAAAGCTTTCGACCTCATGCCCAGAGGACTTCTTGATCAGGCTATGCAAGCCGCCGGTATCAGTGCTGAGCTTCGCTGGGTGATACTCCAAATCCACCGCCATACCCAGATGCAATTCAAACTTGGTCCTCACCAGACCACGGTCGCGACCGAAAATGGTATACGGCAAGGATGTGGGTTGTCACCCACTTTGTGGAGTCTTTTCACTGGCCTTGTACTCAGCGACCTCCTGAGTCAATTGCGGGAGGACGATGTGACTGCATATGCGGATGACTGGCTGTTTCAATGGTTTATAAGCCAGGTGTCGGATCTTGACTCAGCGGTTGAGAAGAGAAGATTTCATTTGTCCTTACCACCCTGGCTAAATTTGGTATGAAGATCAGTGTTGATAAGACAGTCATCCTGATAAGTGTTAAAGGTACCAAAGCAGCCAGTGCCTTGAAGCGCCACGTCAGACACATTCCAGGCAAGGGACACTTTCTGTACGTTCCTGTCGGCGCTGAGCATGTCCTTCTGCCAGTCGTGAAGCAGCACACTTACTTGGGGTTACAGCTTAGCTACTCTGCCCCCGAGCAACGTAGCCTTAAGCACAGGTTTAAGCAGTCCTGGACCACATTCAATCGACACAACAACATGATGTAATAGGGTATCTTACATTTCTGGAGCCACAGCTTCAAGCCACGGCTCCCACTGGCCACTGGGAAGCACGACATGTTCAGGATGATACATCAATAGGTGTTTGTGAAGTAGGTAGTACCTGGCCCCATTCCTCACCACAACACCCCACTTGCGAAGTGCAACAACTTGTCGATGCATGGCAAATGCAGCGTGGCTTGCAAGGGCTGGTGCAACAGCCCAAAGTTTTGCTGCTGCAAGTCAACCGCTTTGGTACACTTCAGAGTAGCGAGGGTAAGTCGCATATGCCAGTTGTTCCGAATGCAGAGATTCTACTGCTCATGTTCACGGTGACTGCGCGGCCGCTCTCTCTGGCCCAACAGTACGCCAGGTACCGCAGAGCAGCAGTGGACGTGAAGGCCAGGAGCCCACCTCTG